AAAATAATACTAATAAAAATAATCGTTCAATAATCGTAATCGAGGTAAAATGTTCAATTAATCGAGATTATGATTTTAGGTCACATCGTCCAGTCCTACAGCACATATACATTATGTTTAATTCTCTAGTATTTGAGAAATTTAGTTTGGATCACAAAGACAGACAAAAACATAACAGGAAAAGAAAGAACAAAACCTTCAGGACACACAAGCACTAAAAGATTACTGATAGTCTGATCAGATCTGTGGGAGACATTATAAATTAAGTCATTCACTGATACTTAAGCAAAGCCTTGCATCAAAACACACCTGCTTGAAATAATCACACATATTAAGTGTTTACATTAATATCCCATTACGTCATAAGAAGCTTTGCATTCCAGTTTTACTTTCTTTGGGTGTATCCATGTAGGCTTAAAATCACGTCATAACTATTAACATACTTCACAATTGCGTGAGTCTCAGGTACAGTACAGTACACACCTGCTTTAAATGATAACCATGTGAACTGGGGAAAACCCAAGGCAAATAGACAGATCTTCTCTCTCTGTTCTGGACCATAATAGGAAGTCAAACTAAAAGGCAAACAATAGAAAACTCTTCTGCTCTCTGTATTTGAATAAAGAGCAGCCCTCATTTCCACCGAACAAGAGCAAACACTGAAACATTGTTTTCTTAAAAATATAATTAATATTATATTAATATAATATAATATAATATAATAAATGTACTATTGCTATTACCACTACATAATCATCAACAAATTACAATTAAAATTAAAAATAATATATAAAAATAATAATCATCATCATCATAAATGTATACATTATTATATTCAATACTGGATTTTTCATACTCTTTGTTACGTATTTCTATCATCATTTAATCACTCAAAGCTATTATCTAACAACTCTGACTCTTTTTTTTCACAACTGAGTTTTCATGTCACAATTTTTTAAGAATTATGAGATATAAACTCTTATATAAACATCTTTTTTTTTATTCCATGGTGGAACAAGCTTTCACACAATGTGGTCCATTTAAAACATAATTTTTTTTTTTTTTGCAGAAGGCCATAATATGCTTTCAGTATTAATTGATTAACTGTGTATCTCTAGTGTCTATAGGTTGAACTAGTATTTTAATTACTAAACTGCATAAACCAGATCTACTGAAGGAAAAGAACACAGTGCTCTCTCTCTCTCTCTCTCTCTCTATCTCTCTCTCTCTCACACACACACACACACA